CTGGGATATATCGAGTCGACGTATGAATGGAAGTATAGCCATTGTTCATTGATAAAACGTCGTCGATATACCTGAATGTCGAGTTGAAGGCCACAGCAAGTGTTTTTCTTCTTCTCATATAGTTAAGTTTTTGAATAAAGGAGCACAAATTAGTCTTCTTTGGAATTCCAACAGTTTGTTGAAACATCAAATGATCTGGTCTCCAAAGACTACATAGATGTTGTCAATGAGGAACTCCAGCATCCTAAATTAACTATATGCAAATTCGAAGACTGAAATCTAATTGGTCCTTAAGGACATATGCAACGTAGTTTGAACTTTCTTGTCTTTTTTCCCTGGAGATGAAAGAGTTCCAATACTTGAAGGACTGTGTGATACATTTTAATGTCTATATTATGCTGTTGTACACTTCTTCTAAAACAAGTTTGGTTAAACTGTTAAACAAAACACCTAGAATATATGGTTAGTAATATTTGTATATTTTCTTTGAATTATACAAGAATGTTCATCAGTTGATATCTTTTCAAAACCCCAAGTATTTCTTTTTCTACGAACATCTGATGGCACTATAATCTTAAATTAAGAATATCTTGAAAAATTATCAGTAGGTAAGGTACGCTGCGTATGTCCTTAAGTTAAAGAATATGCATACTGATGGAATATTTATTAACTTATTGGTTGTATGTAAGTTGTAATTGATTGTGACTGATAATGTCTGGTTGAATGTTATATTCCACAATCGTATAAATAAATTATAAAAGAAAGAAAATGTCGTAGCCATAAAACCTTTATTTATACCAATAAATCACATTAATTTTCATTTAAGTGTTCATTTAGTTCCCCGTGAGTTCCTTTTGTGTACTTATGCGTTTCATTTGAGTTCTTTTGGGTTATTCGACACACCGATTTAAGGTTATTCCTGCGCTTAATTTCCACAGCTTTAATTCTCTGCTAACAAATACCATAGGCGACTCTGATTACTAGAAAATGCTTGGCGAATGCTTTGCTAAAAGCACAAGTACTAGTAGTTAGCGAATTTTGCTACTAAGGATATTCTAAATTTATATTAAAGCCATTTCGTTTTAATCATTATGGGAAAGTCCAGTAAAGATAAACGTGATGTATATTACAGATTGGCAAAAGAGGAAGGATGGCGGGCGAGAAGTGCGTTCAAACTTTTACAGATAAACGAAGATTTTAACTTGTTTGAAGGAGTGAAGAAAGTTGTAGACTTGTGTGCAGCACCAGGGAGTTGGAGTCAAGTGCTAGCCAGGAAATTAAGAGGAGGAGACTGTAAAAATGACGATGTCAAGATTGTTGCTGTTGACCTGCAAGCCATGGCCCCAATCCCAGGGGTGATCCAATTACAGGGGGACATAACGAAGAAGTCAACGGCACAAGAAATCATATCTCACTTTGAAGGTGAAAAGGCGGATCTGGTAGTTTGTGATGGGGCACCCGATGTAACAGGTCTTCATGATATTGATGAATACATTCAAGCTCAACTTCTGCTAGCTGCTTTGAACATTACAACGCACGTACTTCGCACTGGTGGGACATTTGTTGCTAAGATATTTCGAGGAAAAGATGTCACTTTGCTCTATTCCCAACTGCGCATTTTCTTCCCACTTGTTTCAATATTCAAGCCCCGCAGTAGCAGAAATTCTAGTATTGAGGCTTTTGTTGTGTGTCAGAATTATTCTCCACCTGAGGGCTATATTCCAAATATGTCAAATCCCTTACTTGATCACAAATATGATACGGATTACAACAATCTTGAAGGACCTAATCGAGTTATTGTTCCTTTTCTTGCTTGTGGAGATTTGAGTGGATTTGATTCTGACAGAACCTATCCCCTGAATCTAGAAGAGGGCAAGGACTATGTATACCATCCTCCAACTCAAGGACCAATTAGACCCCCGTACGAAGAGGCTTGTCATCTTAGAAAGACAGATCAACTAGCTAAAGTGGCAGATCCCAAAAAGGAACTGTCAAATGCAGCTAATGAAAAAACAGGAGGTGATACCACTCTTTCTCCAATAGACTCGCTGCCAGATTGTTTTGATGAAGATATTAACACTGATCGCTCTGAACAAGATGTTATGGAAGATTTATCAGAACTTCAAATTGGCTAATTCACATTGCATGCATTCACTAGTTTATCATAATTAAATGTCATGTGTTCAAGATAAAAATTTGTTAATAATCTTTCATTTGATTATGCCATATAAAACACATATCATCTAATGTGGAGATATGTGCTTATTGCTTTTCAAAAATGACACAATAAAGATTTTCAACTTTATGTCATTATGGCCCAGAATCATTGATAAATGTACACATATATTAAATTAACTAATAAGTGTGTACTTCTCTGCAAGTGCTGGCATAGTATGTTTAATAAAATTCATGAGATGGTTAGGTCTGAGTAGTAAAAGATAACCTCAGCTGGAGCCTGACTACTTGAAAAAGAATTCTTAACAAGAGGCCCAAGGGCCTTTACAGTCACCTGAGTATAATACAACCTTGTAAAGGATTCCAAAAATGACAATTTAGTAATAATTATGTAATAGTTAGTCTCGTAAAGTGCAACAACTCAGGAAGGTAGATTGATTTGCTTGCCTATATATGCATGGCAGTACTAACTACATTCTCATTTGTCATTATCAGGCCTAGATAAATAAATTGTGTGTTTCCGTTTCCCCGACTGACCCTAAAATATATGAGCCGACCCTAAAAAAATTTTCCGCGGATATCTTTCCAGGAGTAAACTATTCCAGTTTCACTATTAGAAATCCTCGATCACTTCCGCGTTTCAGAAAATGCATATCCTATACACAATAATCAGAAATGTTTTGACAGCGATTTCCCTGGGGAAAATTGGTAGCATGCTTGCCAATAAAAATTAAAATAAAATAAAATGTTTTTCCTACCTACCTACCCTATTTTTTCTCAGGTTAGAATAGGAAACACTATTTATTTATCTTGGCCTCATCAATCTTAACAACAACAAAAAATGCTTGAGCATGAAACTACATTACATACAGAGGAAACCCAGCACAGACCATTCTTATTATTTACTTGTCTACCTGACCATTAAATTTATGAAACTTCTTTATTTATTAATTATTAAAGAGCTAGGTTCACTTTATACATAAAATGGCCCTGTCCTTATATCAATTAATTGACTATTACCCTCTGTCCCATTTCATATATCAAAATAAAGTAGAGACTTAGTGCTTTCATTTCCTATAACAAAATTTTTTTTTGAGAATCGAGGTATTGGAAAACAGGATTTGAAAAAAAGCAATGTCTTGAATTTTGCAGAAAACGTGTATTTGACTACCTTCAGCAAAGAATTAAAATATGAGCACAGCTCACAATCCAAAATTTTAAACATGTTTTGTGATCTTCAGAAATACATCTTTCACTATGTAATTGCATATTTTGGATCAGAGGTTAATTGTGCTCTATATGAAATATTGAAAAAATACCTCAGCTTTTGGCCATTTTTAAGGAAATTTACAGGATATGGGAAAAATGACGCATTTTCTGACGTCATAATGCATTGACTGGAAAGAAAATTACATCATGTTCAATAGATACAAAGTCACCAAGGGTGGTCCAAGTTATAAATACCGCATTTCAACCAAAACTGAGCAGTTTCGATTTTTCAGAAATGCTCAGGGCCGAACAAGGCCCTAAGTGGCTCTTGCTCTTTGTTTTAGGCTTAAACATTACAAAATCTTTTATATTAACTATAATTCTTTTTTTCAAGTGACTTTTCAACTATGTTACAGTGATTAATTATCATAGGTAAGTATAACCTTTCTCTAAGAATCATTAAAGATCAATAGAGCCTTGCCCTAGCATCAGAACCCATGACTGGTAAAGAATATCACAAATATGGTAAAAACATAGTTGCTACATGTAATTAAAACTATGTACCGGTACTTGGTTTGCCTGGTATTGTAGATGTCCAGGAGAAGAGATGATTTTCAATGATTTAGGACATTTCCTTACATGATCAATAGAGCCCCACCCTACCACCAGATCCCCAGGGAAAGGAGCCATGAATTTCAAAACTTGGACAGTGGCACACTTGCTCATTATAACTATGTATTTAGTTTATCTGCTAAATACCCAGGAGCAGATAAGGCAATTTTTAAAGAATTAATGCATTTTTACTACCAGTATATGATCAATAGAGCCCCACCCTATCACCAGAAGCTCTGGTCCAGGGGCTGTGTGTTTCAAAATTTACATAGAAGCATCCTTGCTTATCATAACCCTACACTTACTTTGTTCTGTTAAATACCTATGAGCAGTGAAGAATTTCATAGAATTAATGCATTTTCAGTATATGATCAATACCCAACTCTAACAATAATATTCCTGACCTTGAAGCCATGAATTTCATAATTTCTCTAGATGGCTCAATTCTTATTTTAATCATGCCAACAGTTTGACTGCTTGATGTCCAGAAGTAGAGAAGGATTTTTGAAGATTGTCTATTTTGATAGTTTTGGCCCCAACCCTCAGACCTTAAGGGGTTGAGACCCTGAAATTCAAAATATTAGTTCCCCTTTACACATAAATGCTATATACCAAAATTACTTCAGCAGGTCCAGAGAAGAAGCTGAAAAATGAGAAGCACATCTTCTTAGGAAAACCTTTCACTAGAAAACAATGTGGTATAGACATGGAATCTAAATGACAACAGATAAGTTTATATACATGTACATTTCATATGTTCAATGTGCCAAACAGGGCAGGTAAGATAACCATAACATTTATAAGGAATACTGAATATTTCTACTGATTATTTCTTGCACACCAATGTCAACAATCAGAAATGAAAAATGTTTTAAAATATCAGTATTTATCGGTTTTACATGTAATGGATTTCAAGAGGATATTCCACAAAATAGAGACAACTAATGACAAGCAAATACACCAGCAGAGAAACAAACACATTACTTTATCATTTTATTACCATCTTTTGCATGACATATATCACATTCAACAAATATATCAACATTAGTATCATTAAAGTACATGTACAAGACATGTCAAATCTTTCACATCAATTTATGAGTCAATAAATCTCTATAAGATTAAATAATGTTATAAATTAAAAATATTTAAACACTAAGAGAACTGTTGTCAATTCCTCTTTTGTTTTTTCTCCTGTGTTCCCTTCTTCATTGACTCCTGTTCCGTGCTTTCTGTGAGTTTCCGCACAGTGTCCTCGGCAGCTGGACAATATTTACTGTATTCCATTGTAAATTCTCCCTGTCCTTGTGTCAGAGTTCTTAATTCAGTGGAATAGCCAAACATCAAATTCAGTGGCACCTATTGGTTTAAGTAGTTTACAAAGTCAAAACAAAAGCATCTACACTGTACATGTACTTTAAAATTCATTATTTATTACACCTACTCTAGTTATTTACTACAGAAAAAGAAATCTTTCAAATTTGCTTATAAATGCAGAACACATGTATTTTCATAATTATTTTTTTATTGTACAGGTGACTCTAGATCTCTTGAAGTTCAAGGGACCGTAAGAAAAGTTCGAGAGATCGGGTGGTTCGAGAGATAGAAAGTGAATAAAATCCGAAATATTCAGTTCCGATCATCATTGTTCTACTATTATACATAGCGGAAGTATACGTTGATAATGTCATTACACGTTTCAATTCGTATTTTACAGGTAATTAACTTGATTTCAACATCAATAATAGTATTTTGAATAAATAAATTAATTTAAGTTTCAATATTTATTTGTTCTCATTTCATGATTACATGAAACCTGAATAGCAAATGTCGATTTGGCCATTCCCCGGGCTTGATTGGTCCTTCACAAGATTGCTCGTAATCGGTATTCAATTGTTGAGATAGGATTTTTTGTGCAATGTTTGCCAAACTTGAATTGTGTAGACCCTAATTACATTAAAGTTCATAATCTATGGAAAATTACTGACATGTCCCTAAATTATTTTCTCAAAATTATCGTCTCGTCCAGTCAAAGTAAGTTGTAAAGCGACTTGTTTACAATTTACCAATTAACCAATTAATTATATCAACACTCTGACGACTCACAGGTGTAGTATCAACTATGTGAACACCCAATTAACACGTCCATCCCATCCCCAGGCATTCACTGTTATCCAGGTAAGTCCAAGTTTCATAAATTTTACGCTTGATTGACGTGTATACATGCGCAATCAAGACTTCGAGAAATAGAGAGTAAAAAACAATGAAATGTGTGTAACGGGACCCAGGTCTTGGTTCAAGAAATAGAGAACTTCGAGAGATTGGGAGTTCGAGAGATCAGGAGTAAATTTACTTAGTTATATAGAGGAAAAAACCGGGACTGGAGGTTCACTTCGAGAGATCAAGAACTTCGAGAGATCGGAGTTCAAGCCATCGAGAGTCACCTGTAATACGTGTGTATGTATATGAAAATCAATTCTCAAATAAAAAAAAAAACTAAAATGTTCAAAAAATGGTTGATTGGACCTATTCCGTTACCTCACAATATGACGAAAAGTATCCCTCGTTAGAATCTGTCCCTAGAAAAATAGCATTCCTCTTGGTCAGTCCTGCCAATACAGCACCTTGATATTCCAAAGGGGCATTTACTTCAACCGTCATAACGGGCTCCAACATCGCCCAGGAGTAAGTATAAGCTGCAAAAAGGGAAGTAACTCTTAAAAACTTAAATTTCAACTTTTATAAGTGACCTTATCGTCGATAGTGAAATACCCCTCCCAAATGATGTACTGGGGACATTAAAATCAAGATTAAGCTGTTTTGTATACCTATCAGTCCATAATAAAGAGAACACTTTGTAAATAAAAACTTACTGTCAAGGCCTGCTTGGAAGGCAGCTTGTTCAAATGCCCAGTCACTACTGTCTACAGAATGGGCATCACCTGTAAAACATCGAAACTCTATACAAATGTACACATGAATCAGTGAGAATCAGAACAATTTCTTGAAGCCATGGTTGGTAAATAAGCTGTCAACACTGTGGACTTAGGTTATAACACACATCAAACAAATAATCTTGAGTTTTAGAGCCCATGTAAGATACTAGGTTATTGACTTTGAATTGTATGAAAAAAAATCTACTTCATTGTAATTAAAATGCATGGCTATCAAAGGTAAGCCACAGCCCTGCCGGTGCCCTAGTATTTCTCCTACCATCTTTCAACTTGATAAGGACTCCAGATACTCTCTGTTCAGCTATTGGTCCCTTTTCATAACATTTCCTGAAACCCTACAACAGAAAATGACAAACGTGTAAAACCCTGTAAATGCTACAAAGATTGTTATGATCGTATTTTTTGTGTTGACCAAACTGACTGACCTTTTCAATAGCTGGGATGTAGCTTTTTGGGATATTTGTTCCTTGGGTGTGATCTTGGAAAATCAATTTTGTGTTTTCTTCTGGAGGTAAAGGCTTTGGAAAATAATAATTTGTATGTTTACATAAATTATTTTACTGACTTCAAACTCAGCAAGTCAGAATTCATACATCTTATATATATAAACCACAAAATATCACATTCATGTAAAGAAGTACAATAAACTACATTAATTATTAAGTTTTATGAATCCATTCCTTTTAATTTGTAGAAATAGATCCTTTCAAAATCACATTTTAGTACTTGTTAAGTGCAGTTCTTAAACTCTGAAAGGATTATACATTTATAAGCAGGAATATGGCACATCTTTGCCCCCAATTCAAAAACGTATAATAGTTGGCAATTTTTTTGGTCGCCAAGGCATCACAAACCATGGGGATTTCTTATATCTTTACACTAGACCCCAAACCACTTAAAAATTTATCTAGATATTCTCATACATTTACTATATCATAAGACAGAATCTAAGTAGACTCATCCCTGTTCCTTTTTGAAGAACTGGGCTTAAAAACCCTTAATTTATGCACTTCATTTAAGTATATCTTCAAAATTTACTAGTGATTGCACCCACACAAAGGGACGTCAGATAATTTCCCCTACCTCCACAGTTCCTATAACTCTGGCATATTCTCCTCTACCACCTGACTGCTTCTTGTGCCAATAATCAAACCTTTGAAAAATAAAAAGAAGGATTTTAAAAATGTCAATAAATTACAATTAATTATCTTCACTATAATGCTGCATCCATTCTGCATTTATTGCAGGTTCAAGTGTTTCATTTAATATTGACAACTGAAATCATTCAAATTCCTGAATTTTTATGAAACTTTAATTTTGTTTTATTTGAAAATTTATTAATGCCAGAACTGTACGTACCCCCCCCCCCCTTTCCCAAAAAAAACTTTACAACGACTATAACAAGAGGCCAATGGGCCACAACGCTCACCTGAGTAACTTTGGCCCTGCTGTTCATCACCAGATTTTCCCCTTGTAATACCTATTGTGGCCCCACCCTACCCCTGGGTGTCATGATTTGAACAATTTAGAATCTACACTTCCCCAGAATGCTTCCAAACAAATTTAAGCTTTTCTGGCCCAGTGGTTCAACACTGGAACATGGAAGAAGAATTTTCCTCCATTTTCAATATAAAACTTGGATTCCCTATTGTGGCCCTGCCCTACCCCCGAAGGTCATGATTCAAACAATTTAGAATCTACACTATCCCAGGATGCTTCCACATAAGCTTCAGCTTTTCTGGCCCAGTGGTTCTTGAGAAGAAGATTTTTAAAGATTTTTTTCCTATATATTTCAATGTAAAACTTGGATTCCCTATTGTGGCCCCACCCTACCCCTGGGGGTCAAGATTTGAACAATTTAGAATTTACACTTCCCCAGAATGCTTCTACATAAGTTTCAGCTTTTCTGGCCCAGTAGTTCTTGAGGAGAAGATTTTTAAAGATTTTTTCTATATATTTCAATGTAAAATTTGGATTCCCTATTGTGGCCCCGCCCTACCCCTACCCCCTGGGGGTCATAATTTGAACAATTTAGAATCTTCACTACCCCAGGATGCTCCCACATAAGTTTCAGCTTTTCTGGCTCAGTGGTTCTTGAGAAGAAGATTTTTTAATGACCCCACCCTATTTTTGTCTTTTCTTGATTATCTCCCTTTGTCAGGGGGCTTGGCCTTTCATTTTAACAATTTAAACTCCCCATCACCCAAAGATGCTTTGTAATAACTTTGGTTAAAGTTGGCCCAGTGGTTCTTGAGAAGAAGTTGAAAATGATGAAAAATTTACAGACGGACGGACAGCTAGATGGACGGACGGAGGATGAACAATGGTTGATCAGAAAAGCTCACTTGATCTTTCAGCTCTCAGGTGAGCTAAAAAACTGTCCAATGAATATTTATAGATTTTGATCTGCAAACTTTTCTTATGATCGAAAATTCATGAATGCTTCAAATCATTTATGTACATGTACTGTGTAATATTCAGAACATTTACTTTATGTGCCCTGAAAATGTGATCCACTTACTCTACGGGTTCCAGAAGAGTTTCTCTGAATGCGACTTTTGGCTTTCCCAGGATACACTTGGCTTTGTATTCCCTTTCCAGTCTCTGTGATAGAAGAGACAAACTTAGTTCCATAAAAAAAATGCAAATGGAATCAGAAAAATGTTTCTATATCTAGATCCAGCATTTAATTTGACACAACAAAAAAAATTTCTCAAACCACATTCCTGAAAAGAAAAATAAAAATGCAAGGCTCAGGAGCAGAACAGTTATTATGCACCACAAGTTAACCTTTTCCATGTTCTGCTAAAACAATGTACTGATTACCAGGTAACATACTTATACTTGCATGGATTTATACTTTAAAAATAATACTGAAACTGTACCATCATAATTTCATTTTATCTATAACAGAAGTATTACTTTTAAAATATAAGTGCAATGCAGACAACTCATTCTATGAAAATGGGAGGAGTATAAGCCATGCAAAGATGAGATAAAAAAGACCTTTTTTTACAATTCATTTAGATGCATACATGTACATATACATTTACATGTACGCTAAAATAAAAAAGATTAACAAAAATATCTACTTGAGCATAAATTTCCAGATGTAATTCCCCCATGCCAGTTGCAATGGTTTCTCCCAACTCTGGGTCAAATGCCACTTTAAATGTTGGATCCTCCTTAGTGAATCTTGAGATCCCTTTAGAGAAGTTTTCCTGGTTTTGCTTGTCCACTGGTTTTATTGACATGGAGATAACAGGATCTGGCACATACATAGATTCCTAAAAAAAATCATAAAACTGAAGATTTTATAACACTTTATATATTGGAAGCAATTGAATGATATACATAATTTCTACATGTAAATTTACTATACATTGCCAAAACATATTCTAGCTCAATTTCATTTTTATATACTTGTAACAATACCACTTCTACTTTTTAGAGGCAATGTACATCAATACTTTATTTTCTTAAAAGCAATTTTATTCCTTATCCTGATGTAAATAGATGAGTAAATCACACTCATGGTTATAGACTGAATCATATTTTGATTTACTAGTAAAAAATGTTCAATAGATAATTGATACAAACCAGAGAGAGCTGTGTATTTCCCTTGTTGACAAAAGTGTCTCCTCCTGCACAGTCTACACCAAACAAAGCACAAATGTCTCCAGCGTAGGCTTCTGTTATGTCCTGTAGGAGAGGAAGAAAAAAAATTCTCACAAACCCCTCATATAATGAGACCCTTCCTGCATTTTAACATTTCTGAATATGAAACACAGGAACAAATCTGAAAAAATGTTTTCAGAAATCATTCCAAGTAGGCCACTATATGACATTAACTGTTATCAGTGTTCAATCACAAACCTTCAAATAAACATCTAACAATCTTTAATTAACCCACATCTGAAATACATATGTTACTCAGAAATGTCATTCAATACTAGGCATGAACTGCAGTCCTTTACCTCCATTTCGTCTGCATTCATCCGAATCAGTCTGGATACACGGACTTTCTTGTTGTTCCTTGTGTTAATTATGGTGTCCCCTTTCTTCATTCCTCCTTGGTAAACTCTCATGTAGGTCAGCTGACCAAACTTCCCAGCCTAATAAATAAAATTCTTACATGAGAAAAAATGCTTTGCAAAATATAATGATTAATAAATCCACAATTTTAATGATGTGACTAAAATCTATAATTTTTCAGTCCTTTTCAGTATACTGTCTAACAAGCCATATGGCTTAAAGCAATGTTAATGACTTGAACTTGTACCTCTAGCTTGAAAGCTAATCCAACAAATGGATTTTCTGTTGTTCGCTCTGAACTAAGCAAAAATCTAGTTGGATTCCCATGTTCATCTAACCTGTAATAAAAGACATATCAATGAAATTAGAGACCTAAATCTTATAAATAAATCTGTTATGCTACACTACAAACATTCATAAAGCTACTAATAGATTCTTTATACATTATTTTTGAGATGTACATGGTAAAGTACACTGTGCATTTAAGTTTCAAATAATTCTTCATATTCCATATCAGGGTTTCTTAAAATATTTACATTCAAACCTCATTATCTCAGACTCAATGAGATTAGAAAAAAACTTTCGAGATATCCAGATTCAAGATATCCAGGGTAAAGTACTTAAGGAATAAGGGGTTGGGACTTCAACAAGAGGCCCAAGGGCCTTAACAGTCACCTGAGTATAATACAACAATTTAGAGGATCCATAGAGTATAAATAAAAGGAAAGGTGAAGCTTTGTTGCCCAAAAGCAAGAAAAATAGGGTGATCAGGATCAACAAAATAATTAGTCTAGTGTTCATTAACAGTATATCAATTAGGTTCTAATCTGTTCCCCATTTATCACTCTCACCAGACAGTATATAAACAAACTTATAATCAGTGCTTCTGTACTCTTTTAATTCCTTGTTGAAATCTCTTACATTGGCCTCTCTTGGTCTTTGATGAACATTTAATAAGACAAGTTATTTTTGTCTCATTTTTATTTATCTGTTACTTACAAGTCTATCTGATCATTAAAACTAAGAAAGTACTTTTTGTATTTTACAATAAAAATTCTTGCATAATTCTCCTATTCTATTAACCTTTCAAGTACATTATTTACAGTGATTAATTAACACAAGTAAATGGCAAAGGGGAATAACTCCTCTCAATAGAATAAAAATTAATAGAGCCCTGGCCTGGACCAGAACACTTGATCAAATGGTTCCGATGTTCAAAAATCTGGTAAAAATACCCTTCCTTATTAAAACTTTTACTCTTTTTGCCTCTGATATGCCCAGGTGCAGAGAAGATTTTTAAAGCATTCATGCATTTTCACTATATAATAAATAGAGCCCCACCCTAATATCAGAACCTCTGATCCAGGGGTCATGAAATTCACAATTTTGGAAAAGGCATCCTTGCTTATCATAACCATGTATTTTTTTAAATAATACCCAGGAGAAGAGAAGAAGATTTTCAAAGAAATAATGCACTTTCACTATATGATCTATATAGCCCCGCCCTAGCACCAGAATCCCTGACCCTGGGGCTATGAATTTCACAATTTCGGTAGAGTCACCCTTGCTTATCATAGCTATGTATTTAATTTGTTTAAATAATACCCAGGAGTAGAGAAGAAGATTTTCAAAGAAATAATGCACTTTCATTATATGATCTATATAGCCCCGCCATAGCACCAGAACCCCCGACCCTGGGGCCATGAATTTCACAATTTTGGTAGAGTCACTCTTGCTTATCATAACTATGTATTTAATTTGTTTAAATAATACCCATGAGTAGAAAAGAAGATTTTCAAAGAAATAATACACTTTCACTATATGACCTATATAGTCCCACCCTAGCACCAGAATCCCTGACCCTGGGGTCATGAATTTCACAATTTTGGTAGAGTCACCCTTGCTTATCATAGCTATGTATTTAATTTGTTTAAATAATACCCAGGAGTAGAGAAGAAGATTTTCAAAGAAATAATGCACTTTCATTATATGATCTATATAGCCCCGTCCTAGCACCAGAACCCCTAACCCTGGGGCCATGAATTTCACAATTTTGGTAGAGTCACCCTTGCTTATCATAATTAATGAATTCAATTTGTTTCAATAATATCCAGGAGTAGAGAAGAAGATTTTCAAAGAAATAATGCACTTTCACTATATGATCTATATAGCCCTACCCTAGCACCAGAACCCCTGACCCTGGGGCTATGAATTTCATAATTTTGGTAGAGTCACTCTTGCTTATAATAACTATGTATTCATTTTGTTTCAATAATACCCAGGAGAAGAGAAGAAGATTTTCAAAGAAATAATGCACTTTCATTATATGATCTATATAGCCCCACCCTAGCACCAGAACCCCTGACCCTGGGGCCATGAATTTCACAATTTGGGTAGAGTCACCCTTGCTTATCATAACTATGTATTTAATTTGTTTCAATAATACCCAGGAGTAGAGAAGAAGATTTTCAAAGAAATAATGCACTTTCATTATATGATCTATATAGCCCCGCCCTATCACCAGAACCCCTACCTGGGGCCATGAATTTCACAATTTTGGTAGAGGGCTCAATGCTTATTACAATCATGCCAACACTTTGACTGCTTGATGTCCAGGAGTAAAGAAGAAGATTTTTAAAGATTGCATTAATTTTGATGGTTTTGGCCCCACCCCTCAGGCCACAGGGGGGCAGGGGCCACGAATTTCACAATTTTTGTTCCCCTTCACCCATAGATGCTATATGCCAAAATTGGTTGAAATTGGTTTGCTGGTTCCAGAGAAGAAGCTGAAAATGTTCAAAAGTTTACGACCGACGAACGACGGACGACGCACGACGACGGACGAAAAGAGATAGCAATAAGTCACCTGAGTGACTCAGGTGACCTAAAAATCAGTTCACCATATCCATGGTATTCGATATACCCATAATCGAGATACCAAACTTCAACTGTAGTTAATTATTACAGTTAATTAAATTTACAACTGGTTTCTGTCTAAACTTACTCTGCATTATTGAGACATATATTCTCAACCTCTGTTGGATTGGGGAGGTAGTCTACCACTGCATCTAGTAATGGCTGTACACCCTTGTTCTTCAGAGCTGTCCCCATAAATACAGGTGTAAAGACCCTCTTAATACAGGATCTTCTAATGGCTGCCTGCACAGTATACAATATTTTAAAATATGTACTTCAAATTCAAAACAGGACTTAATTGTGCTGATACTCCTTTTCACATATATATGCTACTACTGAATGAAGAAAAGTCCATAAAACTGGAGGTCAATCCAGAAAAAGATTTGATACATGTCTAGCATTACAAGACTTTATAAAGTTTGGAATAATCATTCATTTGATCAAAATTTCTGAAGGCACATACACAGGCAGCAAATTTGTTCACTCCTCTTTTCAAAATCATATATATGTACCTTGATGTCATCAATAGTGGGTTCTTTCTCTTCTAGAAACATCTCTCCAAGTTCATCATCAACATTAGACACAGCTTCTGCAATCACAAATATAATCAAGTTTGTTAATTCACAACTTAAATAAAACTTATACTTAAAAACTCAATATTTAACTTGTTTGGGCCTTAAATTGGACATAAAGGTTTATTGTCTTCATTCATAAGGGACAGAAGATCACACATTATCTGAAGGTGAAAAATATCACAATCCAAATTTGATTCCTACTCAGCAGGCTGCTTATTTTATACCAGAAAACAGGTATGAACATACATTTAATTCTCGATAAACAGCCGCCTTTTGTAATTTAGAAATCATGGCGATATAACGAATTTGGCGATGAATTGAATTTCCCATCTTTTGGGAAACAAGAAATAGAGTTTCTGTTCTTGAAAATAAAACATTTAGCATTTATTTTCTTAGTATTATATAAAACACATTTTCAAAATTTGAAAATGCATCAAATAGTTTTTTATGTACACTAATTTCGTTTTAAAACAAAACACACATTTATAAAAATAAATACATGAACACAGGTACAGGCATGTCATGGTGGTATTATGAAAATGGCGATGAATCATATGGCGATAATTCGAGAATTGACTGTATACCTATAAGCTTCTGTCTTCTCTCTTTAGCCTCTGTTCTCAGATGAGCTGGGATTTCATCTTCAATAATATTTAGTCTACAAGAAAAAATTTCAAAATATGAAGGATACAATTTGATATTTATCAAACCTTTTTTTAAAACATTTGATTCAATTTTAACCAAAGTTCTAACTAAAAAATTGCCATAATGCCTAAAACCACTAAACATGATCATAATACACATAATATGGAACTCTTTGTTCCATAACTCATGTTTACAATTTTTTTTTTCTCAAAGTGAAACACAGCCTGGGGTTTTGTTTAATTCTCTCTATACATAAAAAAAAAATGTTTCCTAAATTGTATTTTGACATTTTATGGTCCCTGTCTGTCATATTCTAAATTTATAACATTTCAATGTATCACGAAAGAAAACACAGTTTCATGCATACTTTAGTAATATCCTGTTGGCTATAAGATGTTGAAATACAATACTCACCCACATGGCTCTCCAAAGTACAAGGCCTTCATTTCAATGAGATCTACAATTCCCTCCTGGTCTTTCTCCAGTCCAATGGGTAATTGTACAAACTCAGCATTGTGATTCAATTTGGACCTAGAAAAACAGAGTAAGAGATAATACAATGGCTAATCGGATTTCCCTTAAAAAATTTCAACATTTCTAAAACTAATGTGATGAAATGACTTTATAAAAATTTGAAAAATTGTAAAAGAAGCTTACTTCAGCTGTGATAATACTCGAACTGGATTGGACCCCATTCTATCTAGCTTATTGATGAAAGCCACACATGGAACATTATATCTCTTCATCTGTCTATTTACAGTAATGGTCTGACTCTGAACTCCCCCCACTGCACAAAGCACAAGCACAGCACCATCTAAAACACGTAAAGCACGCTCCACCTCCACTGTAAAATCTACATGCCCCGGAGTGTCTATAATGTTAATGTTTGTACCTTTCCAGTTCACATATGTTGCCGCTGATTGAATTGTGATTCCACGCTGGCGTTCTAGATCCATAAAGTCCATTTTTGCACCAACATTGTCTCTTCCTCTCACTTCATGCATTTCTGCCAATTTTCCAGTGTAATATAAAAGACGCTCTGTGAGCGTGGTTTTGCCTGAGTCTATGTGTGCAGAGATTCCAATGTTTCTAATCATTGAAGAGTCTAATGTTACATCCTGTAAATGTAGAATGATATTTGCATTCTGTAGTATTATTTATAAGAATATGACATAATATACCACATGATGACTTGGTATATATTTATGAATGCTGATGGTAAAATTGCTTATTCGAATATTCTTGCTATTTTTCAAAACACTTTTATTATATATATATATTTAACTCTCATAAAAATGTCAGGATCTTAATAGTACTTTTTTGGCAGAGATTCTTGGGTACGTGTAAGTGAAATAAATTTCCTGTCATAACCTAAAACATTATTCTCTTTAGAGAAGTGGACAGGCTAATTTGCCTACATCCACTTCTCTTCACAAGCCTTCATGTTTTGATTCTGGAAAACATAAAAATTTAGAACTGGTGATGGCCTACACATCAACTGACATTTCGTCTAAATTATGCCTGAATGTATGTAACAGGCGTGCTATATTAACAATTTCAACATAAATAAAACAACTGTCACAAAAAAATCTTTCCTTTTATTCTTCAACAATATAAGCACTATCTTTCCAGACAAATATTTAAACAAAGAACAAAAGAATTTGAACGAAACTTGAGGAAATAATGTCTCATTAAATTAAACATAGTAGACGATTTGTATTGTGTCATTATAACTTTGTACAAATATTTTCAGTTTTACCCAATTATAGTTTTTTTTAATCCTTCAACAGTTACTTGCTCATAATTTAAATCCAGGATGGAGAACTTGTAAAAATGGATTAGCGGTAAGTAAAGGTTGGTTTCCTTGAGACAGTTGTGTTTATTTATGTTGAAATTGTTAATATAACATGTCTGTGAAGTACATTCAGGCATATTTTAGAAGAAATGTCAGTTGAAGTGTAGGACGTCAACGGTTCTAAATTTATGCGTTTTCCAGCATCAAAACATGAAGGCTTGCAAAGAGTCGTGGATGTAGGCGAAAGCCTATCCACTTCTCTACATAGAATACTAAAACATCTGTAAAATGCAAGTCGTAAAACTTACCCCCGTTTTGCGTGCAGAGTAATTTCTTGCCGCACACGCCATGCATGGTGTGAACTAAAACAATAGCACATGGTTAAACATAAACAATCTAATATTCTATGTCATATTTCCTGTAACGACTATAATTGTACATGGATTACTAGATAGAATGTTCCATCGTTATAATGATAAATTATTCTAACTAATGAATTACGTAAATTACAGTTTAGAGGAAATCCTGGTTAGACGATTGCATAAATGCATTTTGACAAGAAACAACTACATTATGTTAGTTTCAAATCTAAACTACAAACCTTTTGCATCGGAATACCATTTTTCAGTGATAGATGTAGAATACTCGAAAATCTCTTAAGGATGGTCATTTTTTAATGTCAGACTTTTACCGCAGTTGACATTCACCTGCGGTCCATGTGCGTGATGTAAACTCTCATTTGCGCAAGCGCATACAATAACAGGAAGTCCGAATCTACTTTCATTTTCATGTGCACGGAAGGGATGCGAGAGAACCTACAGAAGTCATAAAGGTAAACGAAACTCAGCAAAACTTTTAGCGTGTTTTATTTTGTTTTTGTCATTATTCATTGTTGAAAGTCACTAATGAACAGAGATCAGAAGACACTGTTCTGATAGTCCACCCCCCGATGCAAGGTGACTGTTTATAACAGCTTTCAGTTGTGAATTTTCAGTTTAAGTGTGTTAAGACTTAAGACTAATAGGGGTATCATGGCTTAATTAACGAGACTTCTTTTTACACTGTGAATGTGACCCTTATGTGAATGTTTACTTTTGGCGTATATCTTGTGTTATCTATCACCTAAATAATTAACAGAAGTATTTAATGCATTAATGATCAAAACAAGAAAATTTAATATGTTGACGGTGCGACCGTTGGGGCGAGCGCATTGTTCACTTCATTTTAAGATCCGCCTCTTCAAACCGCACGAGACATTTGGAACGTCTAGACTGTGACGTCACATGACGTCGTATGTTAGCTGCATTTCCATAAACAAAGCTTAAAAAGTGCAAATATTTTAACAAAGAACGTTTAATTAATCTACTATCTGCATGCAATAGCCATTAATTAAGGTGAGTTTATTTTTTGTGAAATTTTAGTTGTTGTCACCGCGTGAACGAAGTTAGCAGCGAGAACAAGAAGCGATGCATTGTGGGTCAGAATTACTGCGGAAAAAAATTCTATTGAATGAATGTGCAGTAGTCCGAATTTTCTCTTCGCCCAGGCGTTGTCGTTAGAGCTCGCAGTGTCGAGCGGCGCTTCGCGCCGCTCGCTGCGCTCGCTATAAATCTAGAGAATTTTGACCACAAAAATAGAAAAGGTAGCAGAATACTTAGAAGCAATTCTCATATATGGAGGAACCAATACATTCAGGTTGGAAATATAATCTTATATTGTGGGGAAATAAATTAGCAATTTTTTAATTGGGACCCTGTTCTGTTCCTGAACACCACATATATTTGATTTTCTTCAAGGCGTTTGCATAACTTAGATATTTGACTTGCTAGAAAAATGTTAGAATGGATGCCATTATGAAAAGTGGAAATTTTGCTGCCCCCAACTTAACTCGATTTTCGATACTTGAAAATCGAATTAAATGTCAAACTCACAACTTATCAATCACACAATGATTCTAGATCTCACCAATATCACTTAAAAGAAATATCACTACACATTTTGATAAAAGTCTCACGAGATTTCAAAATGCATGAAATCAAAACAAACCTGGCCAGTTTGATAAATTTTTTTCACCAGACACTTTCTTTTTGAAAAGAAACAACAAAAGCGATATTGTTAAGTACTAGAAGCATTGTACTGTTGATAAGGTGCGAGTTGACATTCAGTTCAGTTTGCATGTATCAAAAATTGACTGGAGAATGCTGCCTCCAGTTGGAGGCGCACTGGTTCTGACATTTTCCTGGCATGTCATAATATATCAAAATCATGAAAAAATGCCTGGAAAACGTTCGATATTTCGGACTATGGACATTTGTATAGAATATTAATCATTGACAAGAAAAGTACGATTCAACCTATGTATTGTAATAGGACACATGCTTTCTTTAAGGCCTTTTAATTATCAAACAAATAAATGCATATAGATTGAAATTTTAGCTCCCAAAATTATAAATCATTAATAATGGTCCTCTACACCCTTGACATCCTGTGTACTATGTCATAATATACCACATGGAGATTTAAATGTTTGTGAAATTAATCATATTGACAAATTGTTGATCAAACTTTGTAGCTGAATGGATAAAGCATCAGATCATTGTTTTCAAATTATATGTAGATGAAAAACATTGTATCTATAAGGATTAAATAGGTTTGCTGATTTGTGAAATTTTTCCTTAAAGGTGTTCAGAACCTTTAAGGCCTAAAAATAATTTTTGTGTAATTTAATTATCATTGACCTGAAAAGGGGTTCATTTTATTTAAATCTTAGTTTAAAATGAAATTTTACAAATATCATAAAAGACTTCGCACTGTTTCTATGCATGGATACAAGGAATTTTGGTTGTAAGGAAGCAAAGTTTGAGGTCCCGCAACTTCCTTCTTAAATAATTTTTACTGTATTTTAAGTGTTTAAAAGCAGCAATGATAGCAAATATTTCTGGTTCCTTTGTCTCTAGTGTAGACAAGTTCTTTTTTTCTCTCTCTCTTTATTCCCATAAAAATTTTTACTCCATATTGTGGGCCCACCTTAGCCCAAAGAGGTATGATTTATAATCATCAAAACTTGAATTCATACAATTGGATCCTTAAGCTTCATGACTGACTGACATAGCCTTGCAGTGAAGCCCACATGACTCAGTGGTGTTTTAAGCCAGTAACCCAAGGTGGTTGGTTCAGGCCCCTGTACGGGCACTTGATATTGTGTGCTGTGTCCTTAGACAAGACACTTCATTTATCTGCATTTTCTTAGTCCACCCAGTGCAATGGGTATACCATCCAGGGGAAGTCAATGACTCTCATCATCTTAGCACCACAGAAACTGGATACAAGCATTGTGAGTTTCATGGCTGGGTGGAGGAGTAAATTTTTAAGTCACCCGAGTCACTCAAAAATACTATAATGGGTATTTTCTGTGATTGCCTTTTTTTGTTCAATTTTGCGGATAGGACAAATCTGCACAAATTATAATCACCAAATATTTATTCTATAATTGCATCATCTTTTTCCCAGAACATTATTTGTAGGTGCATATGTCAGTCAATCTGATTCAATATTCTTGCATTACTGCATACTGTGTATTAATATATAAAGCATACAGTTTACTTGCAGAGGTATGAAATAAAAGTGATTTGAAAATTCATGAAGATTAAATTAAAGATAGTATGGCTCAGTTTCAGTTAGATCAAAATGTCATTAAATGTAAAAATATGTAAAATACAGCAGTGTTCTGCCAAATTCTTAACATCCGTGTCTCTTATGATTATCCCATAAACAGCTTTTTTGCAGTAATTGAAAGTGCACCTGCAGAAATGAAACATAGGTAATCAAAGATTACGAAGCTCACCTCAATGAATGTTTTATCTACAAGTAAGGCAAATTTCACATCTTATTTTTTTTCAGTTAGTGTACATCCCAAGATCAATATCTTCATGCAAGTTTGTTTTAAGTAGGACTTACAGTTACATGGAAATAGAGCTGCACAAAAACCTTTTAATCTGTTCACAAATCAGGAAAATCTTGGTCAGTTCCAATATCCAAAGCAAGTCTGGAAGTTTTCATCCTTAGATGCACCATCTATGCAAGTTTAATCATAACAGGACATAATATTATATAGCTACTCCAATAAATTTACCTGGTCACTCATCTGGAAAATGTAGGTCAGATTCAGAATCCAAAGCAAGTCTGGATGTGTCCATCCCTAGATACACCATCCATGGTATTTGGTTAAAATATGGAAAAAATTCACTTATGTGGAAAATCTAGGTTGGATCCAGCATCCGAAGAAGGTTTGTTAGTGTACATCCCTAGATGCATCATCCTTGAAAGTTTGGTCCAGGTAGGGCTAATAGTTACTTGGGAATGGACCTGCTCCAAAATCTTAACCTGATCACTCATGTGGAAAATCTAGCTCAGATCCAGCATCCAAAGCAAGTGTGGTAGTGTCCATCCCTAGATGCATTATACATGCAAGTTTGGTTAAGGTAGGGCTTAAAGTTACTTGGGAATGGACCTGCTCCAAAAACTTTAACCTGGTCACTCATCTGGAAAATCTAGGTCAGATCCTGCATCTGAAGCAAGTGTGGTAGTGTCCATCCCTAGAAGCATTATACATGCAAGTTTGGTTAAGGTAGGGCTTAAAGTTACTTGGGAATGGACCTGCTCCAAAAACTTTAACCTGGTCACTCATCTGGAAAATCTAAGTCAGATCCTGCATCTGAAGCAAGTGTGGTAGTGTCCATCCCTAGATGCATCATCGAAGCAAGATTGGTCAAGGTAGGGCTTATATTTACATGGGAATGGACCTGCTCCAAAAACTTTAACCTGGTCACTCATCTGGAAAATCTAGGTCAGATCCTGCATCTGAAGCAAGTGTGGTAGTGTCCATCCCTAGATGCATTATCCGTGCAAGTTTGGTCCAGGTAGGCCGGCCGGGCTAAAAGTTATTTGGGAATGGACTTCCTCTTAATACTTTAACCAGGACGCCGACACAAGGAGTAATTAGCATAATTATGCTCGACTTTGTCGAGGTGAGCTAAAAATGCAGAAATTTTTTTGCTACCTTTTCATGGGTAAAATTGCAAATTTTTCCAACCACTCTCTCATTGATTACAGTATATTAATAGATGAGAATTGGTCTTGACCCTCTGATATCCCTGTTAAATGGTCAAAGGTCATACTCAAGCCTAATATTTGTTGTCATAAAATATATGACGTAAATATACTTTTTATAATATATAACATAATAATGGAAAAACAACACGTGTCAACACAGAAAAACGGTTACAGATGCATAGAATTTTAATACATACAAAAAGGGAAACAACATTACATACAATTTACAATTACTCATGTGAAAGAAAATAATTATGGCCATTTAGTCATCAGATATGTGAATTGCACATTTGAAAGCCATGGTTTTCCCATGGGTTCTCCCATTAGAACAGGTTGATAGTATTAATGGCCGGAAGGGCCAGTCCTCGTGGCTGGGGGGTCAAAGACTTTGTACTGGACATCATTCTGTTGCCTCCTCTCTTCACATTCTCTGTAGAGGGTTGCCTTATTGTGCTCTACAAGGAAAAAAAAATAACAATGAAGAGAATATACATATTACTGTAAACTCTGAGGCACTGGCTCTGAAACAGTAGCTGAGGAAAAACACATTGTCATAATATTTCAAACAGAAGTACATCATCGTCACATTTATACCATCGCCGGATCCCCACGGGTGATCTCGTCTTACATGGTAAGTGAAAGACAAGAAAGATCACCCATGGGTATCCGACAATGCATTTATACAAGTTCATACAACTTAAATGTAAATTTCAAATAATCTATCCTGCTTCTCACTGATAAATGTCTGAGTAATGCATTATATTTGATCAAGGGTTAAGTCCCAGCTGGGGATTTTCTCAGAAAACTATTTAAGGAGGTTGGATCCTGCTCTCAAAAGTCTTAAGAATTTTTTTTGTACAGTGTATCTATACACATATGGCTTAATTCAAAATCAAAACAAAAATGGGGGTCAATATGCCTCTTACGGCACTACAGAACAATTAACATGAACCTTTTTGCACTGAAATTGCATCTTTAATATAAATCACTTCTTCACAGTTTTTCCTCCATATTTTTTTTATCCAAATAAATCATGGGACCAAATATACCCTTAGGCTTATTCTATCTTGAAAAGACACATTAATAAAAAATTTGTGACAAAAAATGTTTCAAATTACTTCATATACCTAATCATTTGACCTTTCTGCACTGACAAAATATCATTTTTCTGGTATTAAAAATTTAACAAGCAAGAAAATTATTTTAAAGTCTTAACCTTTTACTGAATTTAAGCAGAATGATCAAAGTTATCTCATATATTCAAAAAAGGAAATCAAAAGTGAGGGGTGGGGGGCTAAGATGTAAATTTTTAGATATTGCTGAAAAAGTGTTAATTTCATGTTAAAATTGGCCATATTTTATCCTGGATTTTCAGAATATATTTCCTATAATTATAGAATTCATAAATGTTAATTTAATAAATATTGCAGGACCAGCATAAAACATTTCACTGCACAAAATAACTCTTGAGTGCAGCCTGCATGGGAAAATAGGAATCCTCCATATTTTGATCATTTGGGAAAAAAAAACTTCTGCCACAAAATGTACCTGTAGTTCCTCTCTTAATGTTTTTTGTGTGAAATTTAATTGTGGGTTTTTTATTGAAAATATGTTAATTTGCACTGTAAAATCAAAATTTAATATAAAAACTAAAATATGATGCAGAATTTTTGAAATGGGGTCCAGACAAAAATCTGCTCAATGGCTCAGGATTGAACCTCTGTAAGGTCATACATGTACATTAATTGATGAGACTTACAATGACCCTTCCTTGTGGCAAATTAGAAAAAAGTTCTTTTTTCCCAAGTTTGACAGTTTTAAATGAGTGTTACATGCCTTTAACATTCAAAGTTTAATATTTTTGTCCCCCGCTTTCACTGAAAGTGGGGGATATTAATTTGGGTCTGTCTGTCCATCCGAGCGTTATCTCAAGAACCCTTTGAGCTTTCGCAATGAAATTTTGCATAGCAACTCCCTAAGGCCTAAAGAAGAACCCTATTGATTTTGAGGTCAAAAGGTCAAATGTCAAGGTCTTAAATTCATAAATTCTGTTTTAACACTTTTGTTTCCGCGCGATATCTCAAGAATCCTTTGAGCTTTTGTAATGAAATTTTACATAACAACTCCCTGTGGCCTAAGGAAGACATCTATTAATTTTGAAGTCAAAAGGTCAAAGTTCAAGGTCGTAAATTCATACATTCCCTCTGTGTGTAACACTTTCGTTTCCAGGCGTTATCTCAAGAAGCTTTTGAGCTTTTGCAATGAAATTTTATACCACAACTCCCTATGGCCTCTCTCGCCCCCCTCAAAGTGTCCCGTCCCGTTTTTTAAATTTTTTTTTATTATTTTTATTGTTACAGTATTAAAAGTCACTTAGCACTATTTTTAGCACAAGGGCATGTGGAGAGTTATTACGTATAATACAGGTTGTCGGCAGACTTCATATTCTAATTACATCTATTAGAACTGTTTAGTAAAGGCTAAATTAGACACCATGTATAAAATTGTGTAAAATTTTGACAATATCAAACGTGAATATAAACATTATATGTGACCTGATGTTTGCATTTAATTTGCTGTATAACCAAGTGCCTCTTTGGTCTAGAGGTATGATTCTTGCTTAGCAAGTGAGAAGTCCTGGGATCAAATCCCGGACGATCCTTTTTTTTTCTTTCTTTTTTTTGTAATGTTTTCTTTTTGGATTTACTAAATGGTAGTGCTCAACATGTGAAATGAAAAAGTTATGACGTCTGGCGTGTACAAGCTCATAAAATCATTATTAAGTGTGATAAATATTCTATATAAAAAAGAATCTTCTATACACATATTAAAGAATAAGCAATCAAATCTTTATATCCATACTGGCATTTTTTATTTGCTTCAATATACATGTATACATTTAATAATTCTACAAATCCAAGGGAAGGGGGGGGGGGGGGTTCGACCCCCCCCCCCCCCCCTCCACTGAACTGCAAATGCTCTTCTTTTTTCCCTAAGAGGGGGACAAAAATTCTCTGAATTAGCTTGTTTTTTTCAGGGTTGACATTTAATTTATTCTAAATGAGTGTTACATGCATTTAACATTTAAAGTTCAATAAAAAATTAGGTAGACATTCTTAAATCTAACTGTTAAAAAATGTAATGTACTTTCCAATACAATTATGTACAGATTTTATTACAATCATGAGCAAGTAATTAACACTTTGATCATATGGTTAGTTGTCTGTTTTATTGATTATTAGCTCATCTGGGCCAAAGGCCCAAGTGAGCTCTTCAACTCAAAGTTTTTCATCCGTCAATCTGTCTGTTAACTTTTGTTTTTAATTTTTTTTCTCCAGAATCACTGGACCAATTTCAATCAATCTTGGCAAAAAGCATTCTTGTCTACAGGAGGATTCTAGTTTCAAATGAAGGGCCCCTCCAATGGGAGATAATCAAGAATAAGCAAATAATAAAAAATCTCAAGAACTACTGGGCCAAAAAAAGATGAAAGTTGTGTGAAAGCTTCCTGATATAGTATAAATTCAAGGGTGCTCAGATTATGTCCCCCAAGGGTAGGGTTGGGCCACAATAGCGTATCAAAGTTTTACATGAGAATATGTAGGAAAAATTCTTTAGAGTTGCAGGGCCATGATTATAGTCATAAAGTTCAGGTAGTGCAAATTCAAGCTTGTTCAGATCATTGTTCCCAAGGTAGATTTACACAGGAATAAACACATACAATGTACAGTCAAACCTCGTTATCTCAAACTCGATGTGGCCGAGAAAAGACTTCAAGATATCCGAGGGTTTGAGATATTGAGGGTAACATACTTAAAGAAAAAGGGCTTGGGGCTTTCAAATCACCTCGACATATCCATGGTATTCGAGATATCTGTGTTCGAGATATCAAAGTTCAGCTGTATAGTAAAAAATCTTGAAAAAAGCTTCTTGTAAAGATAGCAGGGCTATGATAAGTACTATTTTAAAATATGCAAGCATCCTCAGATCAGGTTGTGCAGATCCAAGTTTGTTCAAATTATCGTCTCCAGGAGTAGGGTGGGGCTTCAATAGAGGATCAGTTTTTTTATGAGAATATATAGGAAATTTAAAACTTTTTCAAGAGTAGCAGGACCACACTAAACAATATGTTAACATGCAATCATTCACAAGTTGTGCAAATTCAATTTTTTTCTAATTATGGACCTTGGTTTTAGGTTGGGGCTAAAATCAGAGATTAATTTTCATATTATGCATGTACATATATATATGAAAATAATCTTTCTGACATCTCGTTGACTGGCGTCCTTCATGATGACATCTCTCAATCTCTGTTTGAAAATTAGATGGGAGACTTATTTGTTTCTTTGCAGAAAGAACAGGAAGACCATGTTGAAGTTGTGTGAATTGAAGTTCCTTTGAATCACAACCCTTTGGTGCTAGGTTGAGACCACAATATGGGTCAAAATTTTTCATAGAAATAATGAGAAAAAAATCTTTCAAAAATCCTCTTCTGAAAATGTGTCACAGGTGAGCATTGTGGTCCATGGACCTCTTGTCAATAATCTTTAAATATAATGAGGCATGCATTTATAGGCACATTTGACACAAGAAATGATAAATCACGAGATAAAGAATTGATAAGTTTGTACAACAGGAATGTATGCTTCAAAACTTTCCATGATCTGTAGAAGAAATTGGTAACTATTGGTGTTGTTTGGTCATCATCAACTTTGATAAATATTTTTAAAAACATAGATAATAAAGATAGATATTAAGATAATTATTTTATATATCTTTTAATATAAAGATAAATATTTTTTATATATTAATATGCTGCTGCTGTTCATTTTATTTTTTAATTACTTGTTTTTTTTTTTATATATGTCTATTTTATTTTTGGAAATAAAATGGACACAAATACAAATGGCTTGTGACAATAATACCTCTATTTATATGTATGTTTGTAATGGGTGTCTACATATAAGCTGTGACCTTTGTCTGAACAAGTAATCTCATGTTGGGAAACAACATTCGTGATTTCTTAAAATAAAAAAAAAATATATCAAATTTACAAGGGTTGTTCGGAAAGTTCGTGGACTATCATTATAACTTTTTTACTTAACATCATACAGGGTGTCCCAAAACATATGTTACACTTTTAAACTATTATTACTTTAATTTTTAATTTTAACTAGGGTATGCCCTTGCGATATTGAAATTTGTTTGTGACCTACATACAGTACACATTATATGCATTTATCACGTGACTATCAAATAACGTGACCAAACCAAATTCAGTACAGAGCGGGGTATACAATGTTATTTCAAAGAATGTTAAAGTCATAAGATAATATAGTACCTTTACAAAATAAAAATTCATTTTAAAAAGGTATGTATTTATGCACGTTTATATTCTGTTGATTTCTTCGAAGTACGCCTTAACAGTGCTGCGTACTAATCACTAAAACTTTCTTTGGAATAACATATGTCATTTTACAATATATGATCCAAATGACGTCCCTTTGCCTTTGAACACGATTTCTGAAGTTTTTTACCACAGCTTTACATGTATACACAGAGATTGATCTTATTTCTCATGTAATTGCCGTTTTTAGGTCCTCTGTTGTTTGTGGGGAAGGAGAGTACACTCTGTCTTTTAGATAATCCCAACATTATTCAGATGGAAGTGGGCTTCATCAGAAAACCATATGGCATCTGTTAAATTTTCAGAGTCAGGTCTACTTAAAATCTAATTGGCAAACTCTAAACGACTTCTGATGTCTATCTCTTTCAAATGCTGCATCACACTTATCTTGTAAGGAATCAATTTTAATTCAAATGTGAGTATTCTAAGAACACAAAATTTACTAATGGTGCCATTTAGTTCATGCAGTACCAGTCTAACTGATTTTGGTGGAGTTTCAGTAATAACTCTATCAATGGCACCAATGTTCTCTTTGGTACGGACACTCTTTGGTCTCCCAATACTAGAATTGTGTCTTGTGTCATTTATGGTGCCTTTAATTCAAACTTCCTCAAAAGTCTGTAAATTTGCATTCTGTTGAGGACTTTTATTCCGGGATGTTGTTTTCTCATGGTTCTAATGACTAAAGTAGCAGATTTACACTCAAAGTAAAGTTTGACAATTTCTACCAGCTTTTTTTAATGAAGGTTCTATCTTAAAAATGTGATGTCATTATGACGTCATTATTACCTGACTATTTAACAGAACTCCCCGAAATTTTGTCAAATAAAATTTATACTAATACACTAGATGTTGACAAAATATTTTATAATTGCTTTGGGTTTGCTAAAGTTATAGATGATTGAAAGTGTAACATATGTTTTGGGACACCCTGTATAATATCCAAATTTGGAAGAAATATTTCAACAGTAAATTCAAATGATTTGTATTAAAAATTTTTAAGATATCATGGTTTATTTCAAACTTATTTAGACTTAAAAAATGCGAAAATCGGATCACGGAGCAAGTCAAAATTTTGTCATTTACAATCAAGACACTAAAAAATGCCTGAAGTCATATCTTCTGTAAAATGACACAAAACAGAAAAATTCTACACATTCAAATTGAGAATTGTTTCATCGTTTCTGATTCCAAATTTTGACTTAATATTTTGCTTCGTTGAAATGAAATCAGTTTCAGAAGATAGGTAGTCCTAATTGAAAAAGGCAAAAAAAGATGACGTCGTAGAATGTCGTGGAGCAGCAGTTAACCATACGATTTTGTGTTGTACTCTGGAAAACTCCTGAAAAAAAATCTGAAAATGCTGGAGGAAATAGGAAATGTGTCAAAAGCGAGCCATGCATGTGGGTGTACATGATACAAGCGGTATTTGAATGATACATGTAGACTGCTCCTTAGACGATGGTGATCTGTGAGAAAACGGATTATCTGTAAAAATCTTATCAAAAACATTGAAAAGTTAGTGACGTCATGCTAAGAGTTTGGCACTTCACAGATGCTGATCTTGTGAAAGCACACCTATGCAGTCAAAAAAATTGACAAAATAATGCTACTGGAACAACTGTTAGCAAAGTAGATTTCAAGTGATAGAGAAACTTTTTTAATGAGTGCACTGGTCAATATTGGATACTGTGTAAAATGTATAAGGATAGTATTTTTGAGAACCTCATGTCAGTATGTTTTTGACGTTACAGTGTTGTTGAGTTTGCTCCATGGTTACAAAACATGTTGATTTTAAAATCAAATAACATTAATTCTATTAAATCACATCGAATTAAACTTCACACTTAAACAAAATAAATATTTTTACATATGATAATGTGCTCATTTTAAATTTCTTGAAGATAGTATAAGGAAGATTGGCATAGTCCACGAACTTTCTGAACAACCCTCGTACTAAACACAATGAGCTAAAAGTTTTGTTTTTTTTAATTTTATGTGTTATAAAAATTCTTTTTTTCAAATTGAATAATGTGTTCCGATTTCTTACAATTGCCAAATATTATCATTCTGAGATTACCTATTTCTTTTAAAAATTTGCAAATTTTACATTTTCCTCAATGACTTCTTTAATGTTAAGTTATTTAAACAGGATTCAAATATGCATCACATAAATAAGATGATTATTAAAGATACTGTAGATGTACCGGTACTTTTTTTGGAGGGATGTTAATTCACAGTCACAAATTTTCCAAAAAATTTGTCGCATCTAATTTAAAAGGCATTTGAGATGAACAATGGGAACCCAAGAAAATCCACATAATTTTCTACCCACAGATTGAATATCAATTGTCATTCCACAAAATTATGATAAAAAAAGGGAAAAAAAGGTACATTTACAGTATGCAGGCCTTGTATAAATATAAATTTAAATGAATGAACTTCAAAATAAGAACTTAGAGGTATCTGTCATTTCAGATGGGAGCCTTTTTGTCGGCAATGAACTCAAGGGCAAACATGACTGAGAGAAATGAACAATATGAAGCAGTGGAATCCATTCGCAATGACGACTTCTGCTGGTTCAAGGCCATTTATAACCGTAACAGTCGAAATGTGGACAATGAAATGTTAGTCAGTCTCATCTCTCTTATCATACAGTATGGGCGAGTGAAATTTTTAAAGTTTCTCCTTGAGGAAGAAAACTGTAATGTACATATCAAAGAAAATGGAAGCAGGGACTCCCTATTACATTTGTGTTCAAATTCTAAAACTACAAATAATACAATTGACTGCTGCAAGATTTTACTGGCAAACAAGATTGATATCAATGTGAAAAATGTTTGGGGGAGAACACCCCTTATTGGAGCACTGGTAGCTTTCAGGTACAAGTTAGCAAAGGTCCTCATCATGCAGAATGCTGATGTCAACATTTGTGACTCCAATGGGCTTTCCCCTGTAATTATTTGCTGCAGCTATGGAAACTTAGAACTCCTTGAATTACTAGTCCAAAATGGTGCCAATATCAATCAAACTAACTCCTCTGGAAAATCAGCCCTTCATTATGCCATTGTGGGAAATCACACCGACATCATTGATTTTCTCTTGAAGAAAACTTGCGAAATCAACACAATGGACAAATACGGAATCACACCGCTACATGTCGCCATATGTAAGTTTAATGTCAAGGCCACAGAAAGATTGATCATGTGTGGAAAATCTGTGGAAAATGAGGCTTTTTCCACTTCTTATGTGGACTACTGCCTAAAGATTGTGTGGAGTACAGGAATACGATCTATTACATTAAATGAACAAATTCTTCAACAAGCAAAAAACAGTTTGACTTGCATGAAGATGGTAGTGAGAGCCTATGGATTCAGATTAAAACCTACAGTGCTAGAGAAACTCAGGCGATTGGAATCTAACTTTCTTGGCCAAGGAAACACCAACTCCCAAGAGTTGAAGAATCTTTTATCAGACTTGCGTCAACTGATCTCATATGTTGAAAAAGTGACCCAAGAAAAACGACAAGTCAATTCTCCAGATTCCCTTCAGGCAGTTTGTGTTCATAGATGCCGTGAACTTTGTTTAAAGGGAAATACAAATGTACTTTTTGTGTGCAATAGATTAGAACTTCCTCACTATACAGCAGACATGCTCACACTGGCTTCAAGTACGTGACTTGTCTAGTTATCAACCCTATAATATTTACCTTGGCATAAAAAATTGGAACATTATAAACACATTCCGCTTTGGCATAAATAGTCAGAGAAAATTTAAAGTGAGTTAAATAAATTTGTGATGTTCTGGTATGTATGATATTCAGGATCATGAAAATTTCTATAGCACAGTATGTCTTGTATTTAATAAGTTATGTTAAGTCTTTCAAAGTACTGAGAAACTACTTAAATTGTTTCTTCCAAGTAGAAAATATTTATTTGAAGTCAGAAATTTAGACTCTAAGTCTTGACAAACTTCTCTATAAAACTCTTCAGAATTTATAAGCATTACCTCCCTTCTCAGTGGTATGCATCCCCATACATAAAGTGAAATTATGTTCATAGCTCAAACTCAGTAAAAATTAGGGAAATTCTCAAAAAAATTAAACTTATTTTGTAGCTTTAATTAAATAAATATACCAAGTTTTAGATCATTATTGTAAAGTCTGAAAATCTGTAAATGTTGGGCAAAATCCTTTGAAACTCAGATCTTATTTTGAATCTTGTAACTAAAAATTCATGAGTTTTCTACTTCAAATTAGAGTGCCTCTGTGATGTTTCAAGTGAAATTACTGTTATGAGTTGAAGATGTGAGGGAAAAATAAAATTGTGGCAATTTTATAGTTAAAGAAACTTTCAATGACAGATTTATAAAGAAATGCATAAAAAAAATAATGAATTCAAAACACAGATATAATAAATTTTGAATTGAGAATTCTGAAGTAAACAGAATGGCAGGCAAAGCTTTGTAACAAAAAATCCAAAAATAAATATTAATAGTAAACAGGATAAAAAATTACATGTGAAATGAGAAGAATGAATAAAAGCCCATTTACTTCTTAGTATCTGTGCTATGCACTCTCATATTTTCTACTAATTCCAGGTGTAAGACAAAGCAGTTGTTACACTAGGAATCAACTCAACTCTTAATCAACTCAAAATTGACTGTATTTATTATAATACTTGTAATTATATTACTGTAACAGATATTACTACCGTGGTATATATCTTTAATGTTGTGTATTGATGCTGTGTTTTTAATTTTGAGGGTGTTTTACTTCTTCTTATACCGGCCTGTTTTATATCAAAAGAAACATATCTCAGTGCTACTTGATTGGAATAATTATAATGAGTTACTTCCCTTGAGTCAGACAAATACTTTAGTGAATGTTGTTTTTTGTTGTCTAAGTTGTTGTTAAATTGTCTTTAATATTTTAAAATAAAGTTTTCTAGATAATGTTTTTAATTTTCTTTACATTTTAAGACAAAATAAGGAATTTCAATTTATACGAGGGTTTATCCAAAAGTAATGTAACAACTGCTATAAAATCTTAAATAATCTCAAGTTTTCAACAAAATACCAATACCTCTATCTATTTCAACTTTTGTCTTAAAATTTCATTCAGATATATACAATATTTTATAAAATATTAAATTAAACACAATTTAATTGGGTCTCGCCTATCGCCACATGGCTAGAATGTACTGACATCGTTATGACATATCTCTTCGACACTCATTTTGAATCTGATGATACTTAAGATTAACACTAAAAGGAATGAATTTAGAAATAATATTTGGATAAAGTTCAAATAACTTTAATACTACAACCCAAAACAAGATGGTTTATAGCAAAATGGCAGTAAAGACTTTAAACTAGAGGCCCATGGGCCACATTGCTCACCTGAGCACTGTGGCTAGGAAAAACGCAAAAATCAGATCAGTATTGAAAAGCTTAAATGCATAAGTGGTCCCAACCAACCCCTAAAAGGGGGGGGGATGACTTGAACAAAATTGAATCTACACTTACTTAGGATGCTTACAAATTTTTTTGACTGTGACTTTTTTCCCTACAAGTTTAATATGACGTCATAATGTGTACTGGCTATATTATTTCGTGGGTACCAAGTATGTATTAGACAATAAGTTTTAACTTTCTCTGAATAATTGATATAATCCTTAGGCATTTTAATTAGTTTATTTGCATAGAAATGCCTATACCTAGACTTAACTCATGTGCGTAGATATATCATCAATGCAAGTTTGGTCAACATAGGACTTACATTTACTTGGAAATGAGATCTGCTCCAAAAACTTTAACCTGGTCACTCATCTGGAAAATGTAGGTCAGATCAAGCATCCAAAGCAAGCCTGGTAGTGTGCATCCTTAGATGTATCATCCATTAGGGCTGTCACAGTTCCAAAATTTTTCGGGTCGGGTCGGTTCTGTAAATTTTCGGTTCGGTTTCGGGTTTTTCGGGTCGGGTATTTACATCTATTTTAAACCTTAATTTCATGAATTTAACTTGAAAAATCTTTATTTGTTACATTAAATTTACATTGAAAACAAGTCTTAACCATGCGAACGTCTTGACATCGGTGACTTGGCCTACTATTAGCAACAACCTGACCATTCCTGCTCGTTTTGATAATTATCTAATACTTCCGTGACAAGTGTTTTGTCATTGAACGAAGTAGATTTCAGTTGTGATGTTTATTTATCACTGTTATCGTCATCATTCCTTTGATTTCGACGCCATTTTTTATATTGAACAGACTCTAATATATAAACCAGACCCGAACCGAAATCCAGAAAAATGGAACCAGAACCGAACCGAACAACTTGGACCGCGGTTCTCGGTTATTTCGGGTACTCGTGACAGCCCTATCATCCATACAAGTTTGGTCAACATAGAACTTATAGTTACTTGGAAACGAGATCTGCTCCAAAAACCTTATCCTGCTCCAAAAACTTTAACCTGCTTCAAAAACATTAACCTGGTCATTCTTTAGCTGAAATTGCAGCAACTGAACCTTGACTGGTACAATGAAACACACTAGAGGCATCCTCCATGCACCTCTGATTGATATAGGGCATAGAAGTACTTGAAAAAAAATCTGCTCCAAAAATTTAACCTGGGACGCTGACGCTGAAGGTATTACATAAGCTCCCCCAACAATGAACTTGAATCTACTCTACCTGAGGATGCTTCCAATATGACTAAACATGGCTTTTCTGTTCTTGAAAAGATTTTTTCCGATATATTCTTAGGTTAAACTTTGATCCCCCATCGTGATCCCACCCTTATCCGGGGCTAGCCAGGTAACCCAAGCTTGAATCTACACTACCTGAGGATGCTTCCATATCGACCAGTCATGGCTTTGCTATTCTTGAGAAGATTTTTAAAGATTTTTTCCTATATATTCCTATGTAAAACTTTGATCACCCATTGTGACCCCACCCTAACCCTGGGGGGGGGGGGGGGGGGTGTCATGATTCGAACAAAGTTGAATCTACACTATCTGCGAATGCTTCCATATCAATATGACTTAACAAAGCTTTGCTGTTCTTGAGAAGATTTTTTAAGATATTTTCCTATATATTCCTATGTAAAACTTTGATTGTCCATTTTGGCCCCACCCTACCCCCAGGGGTCATGATTTGAACAAACTTGAATCTACACTACCTGAGGATAATTCCACATGAGTTTCATCTTTCCTGGACTAGTGATTCTCGAGAAGATTTTTAAAAGATGCTATTAATTTTTCACTAATTTTTAATTATCTCCCCTTGGAAGAGGGCATGGCCCTTCATAATATGAACAAACTTGAATCCCCTTCACACAAGGATACTTTGTGGCAAGTTTTGTTTGAAATTGGCCCAGTGGTTCTTGAGAAGAAGTCGAAAATGTGAAAAGTTTACAGACAGATGGACGCCAGACAAAATGTGATCAGAAAAGCTCACATGAGCCTTCGGCTCAGATGAGCTAACAAGGAATATGTAATCTAATAAAAACATCTTTTCTATTAGCATATATGAAAAGGGGCATAACACAATTTTGTTTTTTTCACTTGGAAAAATAGAAAATTGAGTTATTTCCCCTTTCTATATGTCAATAAAATTGATCAATGTAGCAGTCTTTGACTTGATGCCATGGTGCCTGGGAAACTATAGATTAATATTTTTGGCCTAATGTGTAGTTTATGTCTACAAAGTTCAATAAAGTTGTGCTGGAGATCACCTAATAGTATAGTTTACAAGTACAGTAAGTTCATTAATGTTAAGGTGCAGTCGCCTATAAATATGTAGTTTATACGTACAGTTAGTTCATTAATGTTGCGATGGAGATCACCCAATGTGTAGTTTTCTATCTGCATTTCCAGATCATGTTTTTCTTTCTCCTCAGCCAAATGGAGACTTCCAATGTTAACCTGATTCATAATGTCTTTGCGTCTGATCAACATTTTTCTCTGCTTTTCATATTTTTGTTGTTTCCTTTGTTGTTCTCGAACAGCTTCCATTGGTAAAACTGTGTAAATGACATCAATGTGTAAATTTCATCTATAAACACAATAGTATGGAGATATATATTTTAAAAATTATAAAAAAAAAAAAAAAAATTATTACATCTGCATTTGTACTAATATAATCTCTGAGCTAGGTGCTTAAAAAACTTAATGTAGCACTAAATTAAATGAGGTTTTAGTCTTGTATTCACTCATACATGTATTGATCTACAAGCTTTTACGAGCCCACAAGCATCAAACTTTATTTTCTTTTATGCAAACTGTACAAAAATATTAATAATATTTACAAATTCACTAAATTATTTCCAACCAATGCGAATGACATACATTTTAGTAAGTAGCTAAAAAATGCGCAAATTTTTTTATAATTTCAATGAAATATAGATGTGCTTTCTATACATAAACTGTTAACTTATATGCAGTATAACTACATATAGCTGTTTCTGTAGTGCAGTTCCTTTTCACTGGTCAGACTCCAACCTATTACAGTTGATACCTATTCTCAACTGGATGTTCAAAGAAAAAGTTTTTCTTTTGTCTTTTAATTTCAGTAAGGTTTGAACGGCTAAAGGAGTGACAATCAATCCCACTATACTACAATAATTTAACTTACCCTCCCTTTCTTTCTTCTCAAAGAGAAGAGGATTCTGGCGTTCATTATCCAGTGCAGTCAGCTTAATAAGCCCCTTCTTTGGCACCGTGGTCTTAGCTATGGAGACTTCCTCCCGACTGACCGGATGATGACCCAGGACAGTTTTTCGTCCCTGTGGTGTTTCTGCAGGAGAGTGGGTAAGGAACACTTGAGACCTCTGTGAACAAGGATAAGAGAGTAAGATATCTTTTTGTTTTTTAAGTATACTACATGTACATAAATTTTACTGCAAGTTTCAAATTGGTAGCTATAGAGAACAACTCTATTTATAATTTCCTGGCAACAGTTTTCAGGATTTTTGTCACTGAACAAGTGATCTGTATAATAGGTTGCTCATACATGTACATGTATTGTAAATCACCTTTTATTGTTGAGAACTTTATTTTCGCATAATTACGCAAGATGGCCTGCTCATATATATATTTTATTAAAACAGATTATATATAACAATACCCAGAATTTGTGAAAATTTTTCTTGCTTATGAATATTAAATACTTGTCTCACAAATATAAGATGTGAAAATTTGGTGATCTACAGTAATTTGTTTGTTTTGGATTTTTTTTTTTTCAGAACTATGACACCTATCATTTCTTTTCCAAAAATCATCATCAGTGGGAAACCATTTATAATTGTAAACAGTGTATGCTATCAAACTTTGTTTAAATATAAACTCTTAAGTTTTAAAAATACATAGTTAATATTAAAAATGAGAAAACATACATGTATTTCTAAATTCACATACCTCCCTAAGAAATTGTGTAGTTAAAGATTCTGAGGAAAAATTGCTGTGGACATCTAAGTCTGACTTTGACCTGTGGAAACCATACAATAAAACATTCTGCTGACCCTGAAAGAAAACAAATAATATATAAGATGATATGGATCCATACACAATATGCAAATTTAAAGAACATGAAAAACTATACACATAAAAACTATACACTTTTGTTGTATCCATACCTGGAGACAAGATTTTACAGAAAGGCAGTTATCCATAGCATGGCAAATTAAACACAAGATAACATTCAAAATATTATGCTGTAACAGTGAAATTGAATAAATATATTAAACAGAATTTAATCCCTAAATCAAATGACACTGGAGTTGTCCTATGAAGATTGTGCAATCTTTTTAAGTTTACAAACTTCATAGAGGTAGATAATAAGCATGATTTTAGAATTCTAAACTTGAAATTGAGACATACGTTATAACATTTTATGAAATATTCTTCATCGTTATCATTATCATCATTAGGCCAAAATATATAAATGTGTGTATTAAGGGTTTCCAGCTAAAATAAATGAGTATATTATAGGTCAGTTGTATTTTGTTTATTTTTTTAAATTAGTAATTTATGAACTGCTAAGCACAGGTTTTCAAGTACATTAATTTTTCTCACCATAATGCAATATTTTAATGCTTCTCAATTAAAACATTTCATTATGATTGGTCTTTGTACTTTCTCATTTGACAATATTTTAATACAATGCATGCAATAGTGAATCTGTCTGGAGTGGGTACTGATCAATAGGCCTGAGTATCACAAGCTATCTAACAATACGATACATATCAAGATACGGTCATGCGATACAACATGTATCATGATACAGCTGTCAACAATTGAATTAACCATTATATATCTTAACATATTATTCTTTGCTCTCCTCCACAGTTATAGAAAATATAAAAAGAATATCTTGATATTCCTGACCAAAGTTAATAAAAGGTGGATTTATAGTCTTGATACTGTATTTTTTCTTTGCTACCTTTTTTCAGCCATTTTAAAACATTAAAATTTGTTAGGTTGTATGTAGAAGTTTCAAACAAAACAATGAAAATTATCTTGTACTGTATCATGATATATATATGATGATACCATACGTGTATCATGAACCCTTGAGATCAATACGATCGATGTATTGCTGTATCGTTACACCCCTACTGATCATGCAATGTATTTTTTCAGCATTTTTTTTTAATGCCTAAAAAACGTCTGCTAAGAGATCCTTAACTTATAAATTTTTGGCCAAGTAACATGTACAGGTTTTTGCAGGATGCAGAATTTCAAATCTTAATTTGAATTTTAAAAAGACAAGAAAAACAAGAGGACCAATGGGCCATAATCCTAAGTCACCTTGACCCTGCTTATGAACATACTTCAGTCTTCTTTACATGAGGATGCTTGAATATAAAACTGAAATAAATCATGACCAATGTTGTTCTTTTCAAGATTTTTTAAAATTATTTTCTTTATTCTCTATGATGACCCCACCCTATCCCTAGGGGTCAAAAACTTGAATCTACTAGGAGTGAAACGGTTCACCGCGGTATCGATGCACCGCGGTATTTTTTCTCGGTTTGATACACGGTGCAAAATCTCCAATTTTCGGTTCGGTTCATTTTTCTGTCGGGATCGTTATTCAGTCGGGTTTGGCATAAGGTATAACACATTACTCAGAAAAAATAAGTATAGAAAACGTAAATTTTTGATGACTGATAGCTTGTAAAATAATTTTTGACAGTCAAATAATTTTAATCAATTTCTTCTAGTTAATTTGCAAATAAAATTCGTAAAATATGTGACTAGATTTAGAAAAAGAAAGCATAAAACAACGTAGAATTTGTTTCCTTCTATCAAAATGTATCGTATCGAAAATAACCGAACCGAGACAAAATTATACAATACGTATCGAACCGTGAAGGAGGTGTATCGTTTCACCCCTAGAATCTACATGACCTGATAATGGTTGCATATTAATATCACTAATCTTGGCCCTATCAGTTTATTAATAAAAGAAAGATTCTGAAAGAGATCTTTACCCATATATTCCCATGTATTACTTTGATATACCCTATTGTAGCCCCACCCAATCTTATGGGGGGTCATGTTTTGAAAAAAATAGAATCTGCACTATCTAAGGATGCTTGCTCGTTATTATCACTTACTGTACATTTACATAAATTGACAAATTTAGCGCAATCACTGGGTATTGAGTGGTTGGTGCAATCATGAATTCGCATACCAGCTCAGGTGAGCTAAAAAAATAATAATAATGTACTTATAATTTTTAATGTGATATTGTTATGGTAATCATCAGTTATATAGTGACTTTAAAACACATTTACTACTGCAATGATGTGTACCCTGCTAAACACATACATATAACATGACTGTATCTATAATGCACAATTTACAAAAGGCATTTATATTATTTCCGTATCTTTGCTACAAGTTCTTTAGGTTTAGAAATTCAATAAAATAAATACATCATATTTAAAAATGATTCATGCATAACATAAAGGATCAGCATTCGGTGAATTGCCCTTTTTGAGATTCCTCTAAACAGACTCTGTATGATGTGTTAATTTACCTTAATGTGATCGATCAAGATCATAAGCTATGGACCCTCTTCAACAAACACAACAATTCATCCCAAGAGACCCCTAAATACTTTCCTTTCTAAGATGTTTGAAAAGAAAATTTCTCAAAAACATTTCAAACAACACTCTCCCTAATCCTGCTTTGAAAAAAGGCAGAAATTTTGAACCCAGCCTAATCTACCCCTTTCAGACAAAATACAAAAATTAAATGAGTATCAAAATATGTCGTATTGGCTGGTGGAGACAAATACCTGTACTATGTGAATCATAAAATGGGAAATATTTAAAGGGGGGAGCAAATCTGTGGATGGACAGTAAAACAAATTGTTTTACTGCAAATTCTTGTGGGCTCTTAATAATTATACTTGTAGCTACCAGTCTGTTACTACTGTATATACTTGCATATAAGTCAGTTTTATGGGAGTTAAACTTTGGTCAAAAACTCTTTATCCGACTTATACGCGAGTTATAAAAAGATTGGTATTTTAGCAGGTCAATCCCTCTAATCTAAACTTAAAAAATACAACCAACTTATAGGTGGACCGACTTATAGCTAGTGTATACTATACGGTATACAATAGCTTCTGAAATGCCATTGTATTCATTTCTTTAAACAAAACTTTAATTTTAAATTTTATATGCAACCGACTTATAGGCGGACCGACTTATAGGCGAGTGCATTCGGTATACAATAGATTCTGAAATGCCATTGTATTCATTTCTTTAAACAAAACTTTAAATTTTAATTTATATGCTCTCTGTATTAAATTCAAGTGGTTAGCAAACATTAAGTTTAAAGATTCTCTCAATTTCATCAACTGTTAACCTACAAGATTAAGTTTGAATGCTTTAAAAAAAAAAAAGTATTAATATTTGAACAACTCTAAGCTAAATTAAAAATTTTAATGTAAAAATAAAATAAATGTCTTTAAGATTTTTAACAGTTTATGCTTGGACTTTCATATTTCACATGTGTATTCCTTGTGACAAGGTCTTTCCTTGAGTACCAACATTTTTGGACTTTTGACCTTGGATTAAGACCTTCTTTCAAAAAAAAATTAATAATAACCTTAGCCATTTCTTTTGAACAGTTGGTGCTAAGGCTTTCATATTTCATGTGTATTCTTTTTGATGACCTTTTTTGGAGTACCAACATTTTTGACCTTTTAACCTTGAACTTAAGAGTTTGATCTACCTTTTAAAAACTTTAATTTTGGCCTCAACTTTTGAATCAATGGTGCTAGGGCTTTTCATATTTACCTGTGTATTCTTTGTGACAAGACCTTCCCTTCAGTACCAACATTTTTGACCTCATGACCTTGACCTTAAAGTTTGACCTACTTTTGGATTTTTTTTTACCTTGGCCATAATTTGAGAACAGTTGGTGCTTAGGCTTTCATATTTCACTTGTATATTCTTTAATTTGTGACAAGTCTTTCTTTGGGTACTAACATTTTTACCTTTGGTTTAGATCCTTGAGGTTTGACCTAGCTACTTTTAAAAAACTTTAACCTTGGTCATAACATTTGACCTGCTAGTGCTAGGGCTTTAATATTTCACGTTTACTCTTTGTGGCAAGACGTTTCCTTGCGTACCAACATTTTCGACCTCACGACCTTGACCTTAGAGTTTGCCCTACTTTGCTATTAAATTCATTCCTTAAGGAAGTCCAATCCATAGTTTTTGAAAATCGGGAGCTGTTAATTGAAAATGCTCACAAAAATGTCTCCGAATTCTAAAAGTAATGTGTATTTACCTATGGTATTTCTTCAAAGTTTATCACTGAAGTTAATCATATAACATATGGAAAATAATCAAATCTCAAATATATTTTCAGGAAAAGTGAATAAAAGCTTCTTCTAATTGAAATCTGATCAACAAATATATTTAACAATAAAAAACTATAGGTATCCAGTCATTTGGAGAAAATTGTATGTACTTTTATACTTATATGGTACTTTAGTTCTCTTCTATTTTCTTCAATTCTTATAAATACATAGTGTAAAAAGCTTGTGCTATCATTGCAAGACATCACAGATCACGTCTAATTTCTTACCATGCTAAGAAACATTTGTATCTAAGCCTAAATCAATAGAAATTTGATTTCTCGATCTAAAATGTATTTATTTTTGTACTTTCATGGGCTACATAAAATATCAAGTTTTTACAAGACCGTTTCTAAGCCTTCAAATAACCTTGAATCGCATCGAGATGCATGAAATGAAAATTGTTGCAAGAAATGATTTCAATTTCAAGCTTCATTTGGAGACTTTTCGAATTAAATTATAATTTTAAGAGTTATTGCTCCTGGCTGAGGAGCGGATATCCTTAAATCAAACTACAATGATGTTAATTAACTAATATAAAAATGAGCTACAGGAAATTATTTCCTCTTTTGATAACATTATCATTTGTTTCAATTCGAGGATTTCATAACCAATGAGCTGTCAAGAAAAAAAATGGATT